CGATATGGCATTTATAATTTTTATATATGTTAATCACCGTAGGTAAGTATTTTTTAGTGAACAGGAAAAGTTGAGACTGAGTCGGATTCGAACCGGCGACCTTTGGGTTACAAGCCCATCGCTCTACCAGCCAAGCCCATCGCTCTACCGGTAACCCAGAGGTCGCCGGTTCGAATCCGACTCAGTCTCAACTTTTCCTGTTCACTAAAAAATACTTACCTACGGTGATTAACATATATATATATATATATATATATATATATATATATATATATATATATATATATATACATGGTATAATGCAATGCTCACTTCCCTTGTGGTTGTTTGAGCACTCTGGCCCCATTACACTCTGCGCATGTCTGGATTTGTTGATGTCATCGTGGTGGCGAACAAACGTTTCGTGAAAATATTCACCCCCTGTCATGTAGCTGACGAGGTGTTTTCGCGAATTTGCGCGTGACTTTTAAATTACTTCTTTTGAATTCTGACAGGACAACTATTATGGGAGGTTTTTCCTTTCAAGTGCAACTAATGTTTTCAATTCAGTTTGGATTGGGACTATTCTACAATGAAGTACTCTTGGATATAATGTAATCTAAATACATATGAAGACGAAGAAGTGTTATTTATCGGGCAAAGAAGCGGCGAGTCATTGAAATGGCGCCATATTTCACGAAATATGGAAGGACAAAATATCGAAGATAAAATACACTGCATTGTTTCAAAACTTGATGAAACTATTCTTTGAAATCTTCTTCAGCCATTTATGATTATGTACTAAAAGTACAACAACTGGATGATATTTGCCAGATTCGGCGATAAAAAGCAAACAAGACGGCAAAATATGGCTGAAATCGTGTTTTCGTGGGGAGTAAGTGAAATAAAATGTATTATATTTATAGAAAACAATGACAATCCTTATGAAATCAACAATATTTATATTGAAATTAAGCATAGTTTTTCACCCCATGATAATATTTTTTAGGAAATAAGAAAATTTAATTTCTGCCAGGCATATTAGTTATTTTATACATAATTAGCAATTTACCTGGGGTGGTGTATGGTCATTTTCTTGTAAAATATTACACTTAGACAAATTTTTCCTTCCAATGACCACCCCTAAAAGCAACCCTTCTAAACACTATAAGCACTTCAGGCGGGGTCATTTTCAGGACTTTCGTCGCGGATTCAGGATTTGGCACATATGCCATGTTGACCGCCATGGTAATTTTACCCTAAAGCAGTTGAGATTACCTGTGCTAAATGAAACGCATAAAAACTCATATACATGCAGGTCCTAGACTAATATACCTTATTCATAAATCGTGATGACGGAGGGGCATGGGGAAATTGACAAAAAAGTTTTGCTGTCGGCGAATGGCAGGAGTAAATAAAAAACGAACTGCTTTTTTCGAAAATATGTCTATAAACTGCTGACCATGAAAGTTGAATTAATACTTCAGAGAAAATATAATGTGATATTTTAACGGAGATGCTGGGGATGCTTGTTTTGTTGTCAGTTTGTATGGCCAAAACAAACAACCAACAAGGGCATATAAGGCCACAAAACGTCTACAACACCAAAATCGTACGAAGGTCTACGAAACATCAAACTATTGTTGAAGAAATAAGATTACAACTCACTCAGGTATTGTATCTTTTACTTTTTAAACTTGTAAGCTGCTTTGCAGAATGTCTTCGAGCTCAGGTACAGTTCATATTTTTTCCATGCAAATCAATAAAATTTAACGTTTTCTTGTGATTTTTGAACTCTTGTTTTCTTTCATATTCATATCAAATTATAAAATACACTGTACATTCCACAGTTGCCTTGATTTTTTACGGATGAATTGACGGCTAAAATGTCATTATAAACGGTACTGTTTTTTCGCTTCTGAATAAACACCACTGCTACGTTGTCATATTTGTAGGCTTTCCACACAAAAAACGGGACAAAACCGGTCTTTTTTTACTATAATCGTTTATAGCTTTTGTTGTGATCACAAAATCTTACCATGAACACACACAAAAATCAAAATAAACAACAAGAAACAAGCCACTAAAGTCGACACAATGGCGTCTGAATTTGGCTTTTACAAGCTTTCGCTTATTTTCCCGCGTTTTTTCCCGTTTCCTAGGATACGAGACCTCGATCACGATTTATGAATAAGGTCTATAACTGGAATTGATGGTACCCAGAGCTTAGATCTAGTTTTGAGAAATATGCAGCACCATTTAGTGTTTCAATTAAATCTTCAGTTGTGGGGTGATGTTCCCGTGAAATGTCTTTATTGGGTATACCACAGTTAATAAAATAAGATGGTTTGGCTCATGGACACTCAAATATGTCATTGTTATCTGTAATTGGAATCACGTGACAGAGTTTAGTGCATGGGTGACAAACAATCTATAGGATGTAATATGATGCGAGAACATTGCTACATCGAAATCTTCGAGCAAACTGCTTTCTCTCGCGAATTTAAGAATTTTTTTTCGTAGCAACGGAATGCCTGATGCTAACTGTGCACTTTTTGGCTGTTCGGCTAGTCGAAAGAGCAGTCTTTCGTTGAACGATGCAGACGAGACTTAGGTCTCTGCCCATAAGGAATGGCTTCGTGTGGTTTTACGAACGAGAGAAATGACTCCAGACTTGAAGAAGAGAAGCGATATCGATGAGAACAATATATTCTTATGTTGTGAACGACACTTACAGTAGATGGTAAGTTAGCGCACAATATGCATGGTAATTGTCTTGGTCTTTGTTCATATTTATTGAACTATTCGCAATATATAAATAAACATTTGTATTAAAGTCCAAATACTAGTCTGATAAAGCAGTGTTTTGTTCTTTTGTAGATGGAAAACGGAAATCTTTAAATACAGGAGCTGTTCCGACCGAAAATCGTCCTCCTGAAAAGCCATGGCTCATAAAGCGAAGCCTGGTATACCACACGTCCGGATTCTTCTAAATCATTATTCATTTTCTGTTTGTCAAGTCAAAATCTCGAAGGTTTTGAACGTTCATCGATTTGCACAAGATCGGAACTCTGTCACGCAGTTCCTGGTCCACTATATTACGATCGTACTTGTTCAACTAAAAAGGCTGAAATGCGTCTTAAAAACAATCATTCAAAAAGCTGAACTGTGGCTGTGCCCTTAACATCGGTGTCAGACATTTCATGAACGCATATCCCCGAGGAACATATTAATTGACGTAAATGTAATTTGAAACTGCGAATTGTTGTTTGCGAACGTCTGCAACTGCTGCAAATAAAATCTATGGAGAAAATATCCGAGGCGCCTTATGGCAAGTCGTGTAAAACTTCAGAAACATTAACACGTAATGTGAGGTTTCATAACGAATTTATTTAACCAAAAACAATACACAGATATAAGATAATTCCTTTATTCATATTACATTAGTTTTATTTTTAACTAAGCCAATTTAAATTGCATTACAACGTCTTAACAACAATAGGGAAGTTTCAATTTGACTTCCACTACCGCTGGATATATCCATAGAAATAATTGATATAGAATGCGCACTTGATCACGAATCATGTCTCCACTTTTTCTTATGCATGCCCTTATAAATCCGCCATGTTTAATTTGACTAGGAGTGCAAACTACAAAGTAAAAACAAGGCTAAAACTACGTTTTCATCGTCAAAAAGTTTGTCTTGTTGTCTAATTTATAGTTTGGGGATAGATTTTGAGTTCTTTGAAGGCACAAACTGTCAAGGCAAACGTACTGCAGTTACAAAAACGGTGAACATCGTGCAGCCTTGTAAAAACAAAGTAGTTTCGCGTAAATATATTTTACTCATAAAACATTTTATTTTTTGCTTGCTCTGAACGTCACTACTGTCACTGTTTTGTTAATATCTTATAAGATTACAAAATGATAGTTCTTTCTTCGTCGGCTTTCGTTTTTCTTCAATGTGAACGATTGAAGTATTTTCATGTTCTTGAAACAAAAAATGTTTACTAGTTGCCGATAAACTGTAAAAATGTAAATTACCTAAATAATCGTCGAAAATTATGGTTTCAAAAGCGTTAGCCTCAAGCAACGTAGAAAAATATGAAAAGTAATTGTGTATAAGTTTAAAAAAATTATTGAACTCCATGAAATATTTGTAGAACATACTTATTAGTAGTGAGTTTGAGTTTGTCTTGATCTTTCGTGTTTTGGCTTGCACAACAACGTTGAAAATTTATTTTTAAACGACGATTTCTGTATATATTCTGTTCAGAACTATTGCTTTTCGTAAAAAAGCCCAATGTAATGAACTTTTAGACACTTTTTCTCAATTTCTCCTATACAAAACTTTTTTTCTATTTTAAGTTTCGACATAAAATGTTTTGCAAACTTTGCAGTTGAAAAAACAATTCGCACTACCTGCAACCGCGCGAAATTCCTTGCCGCAGGAGTCTGGGACCAACAAAAATGCCCTTATAAATGGCCGCCATTTTGTGGAGACAAATTTTTACTGAGAATCTATATCTATTATTTCAATGGGTATATCAAACGATCTAATTAGCAGCAGCAGTGCTTAGTCAAATCTGAACATTTATATTTTTAATACGATCACGACGATCTATACTCACAACAACTATTATTCAATATTACAAGGTACTAATGAGAATATTCAACTTGTCGTTTTCAGCATTAGTACTTCTCTTCTTCACCATCTTATCTGGCTTCTAACAAAAATATATACAATAGTTTAGAGACAATCATGACATAAATGCACATAATGCCATAAAAATATCGGCATATACGTTTTCCCATCTGATTCACATAAATATAGTTTACTGCATCGCATATATAGATTGACAGAAGTCAATCTGCAATGTTTAAAATTATTTCAATCCAATATTGTTAAGTGTAGCTTGAGTGGCAGGTCTGTACCTGATTTACAATTTACAAATATAAAACATTTTCTGTGTTGATATACAGTTATATCCACACGAGTGGAAATTGAGAAAACGAAAAATTGTGTGGAAACAGTTTTCCAGTTTTCCCAATTTCCACGAGTGTTGAATAACTATATATCAATACGGAAAAAATGTTTTATATTTGTTTTATAATATAGCTCAAAGAAATATAAAGAAAGAAATTTTCCGACGTTTCCATGATGACATTGAGCTTTAGTATTTTTGCACAAGTGAACATAACAAATCCTTCACGTTGATTGGTCAAATTTGACGTAATAAGCTGTTATATTCACCTACAGGTGAATATAATAAAACAGAAATTTTCAAAATGGCGGCTACCCGTTTTATGAAAGTTCACTGACAAAGAAATAAGCGAAATTAAAATAAATTCAGTCTCAAAAAACACAAAAGCTTGTGTAAAAATACTAGCTAAAACAATTATTCGCCTCAGGCTCGGTGATTATCGGGGAATATTATATCTCAAATTCAAATTGTCCAATGAAAAAACAGCATTTGTACCACGTGATAATGTGATTTTTTGCAGTATTTCACTCAAATTCATGATTTCGCAATGCAGCGTGAGATATTATAATATCCCACGGCAGATCCACCGTCGGATATTATAGTATCCCACGCTCACGCGTGACGCGTGGACACCACGCTCTGAAATTTTTCTGAAACAATGTGGCGTTCGCGAGCTGTTGTTTGTAATTTCCACTGGTAATTTCGTATCGAGAAGATTTGACGTATGTTACCTTTAATGATCTTTGGATCATTAAAGGTAACATACGTCAAATCTTCTCGATAGGCTACATGCTCAAATATTTTAAAGAGGAAACGTCAAAAACTCAGGTGTACATAAGAAATTAAAAATTGTATTCGCTTTAGTTTTTATATAAAGTTTATTCTGAAGCCGGGAGGGCATTTTACCCGGGGTACCTTGCAGCCGAAGACATCAATAGCCGCAGCAATGTCAGAGGGACTATATTGTTAAATTTTCCCGAACTAGGTCTAATAGGCATAAATGTGCAAAATTTAATCTTTCAACAATGATTTCAGTTAAGCCTTTAGCAAATCCCTGCGCTTTTGGTACCGTGTTTGTTCGTTTAGGCATGCATGGACTAAACGGAGATAACAACAATTTATTTTGGGAAATATATGAATCAGTCCCATTTTTTTTCCAAACCGATAACCTCTAGTTCAGTAAATTTTTATATTATATAAAAATAAAATCTTTGATGAACACGGAAAATCGGGGCAACGACTGCCGGACTGGATATATAGAGCTATCACTAGTGATTCAATGTTTTTTTAATAAGAAAAAAATTATCTAAATCAGCCACTTCCAACAAACACATGCTATCATACGTCTGTCCATCTGACCACATACTGGAGCGTATATATATCGCAGGACAAAATTGTTGACACTTTGTTTTGATATTTTAAAACATATATTATCATAAAGGTTGGAAAATATCATCAAGTTTAGTTTTCATTATTATCCACATGCACACGCACAGCCATCTTGTCCCAAATTTCCGGTTATGTTTTAAATTCAAATATAAATGTTTACCTTTTCTCTTGCATGATCCGTCATATTTTAATGTTATTTCTTCGTCGTTTTCAAATTCACAATCAGCAAACCGCAAGCTGCATAAGTTGGGGTAAGTCTTGCCGTTTGATCCACACACTGGATCCAAGTTATTCGGACAGAAGGCCGGACACACTTTATTCGTGACTAAAACAATAAGAAAACTCGATCCTAATATGTATGGCTTCACCGTTTGGTTAGTGCTGTAAAACATCCCTGTATAGGCCTAGATATTTATAGGTTTTGCATAATTGCAAGCCCGGGATCATATTTTAAAGAAATTTTATCACTGCACAAAAACCCCCCATAAAATAGCAGCATATCACACACTGTGAAGGAGCGCTGAGCAGCTCTCTAGATATTTATAAGTATTACTGACTGGAAAATCCCAAACAGGAAAATTGTCGAATTTGTGGTCAAACAGTCGCTCTCTGATCCATGAAAATAGGAACCTATAAGAAAGGTGTCCCAACAATGTGATACATTCCATCTTGGAAGATTGAATATTAGGCCATATAAAATTCGATATAAAAATTGAAAACATTAGTAAGCGAAAACTAGCATAACTTATTGTCTTTTTTTGTGCTTATCGTCCTTTTGAATAATTTAAAGAATTAATTATCATTATGTACTCCTTTTACGAATTAATATCATCTACAGTAAAAAATTAAAGAAAATCTCATTTATCATTGCACAAATCCCATTTATCGCTGCACAAATTTGCTAGTATTCAAGCTCCTGCAGTATACTAGCAAGTGAGGTGGAATAGATATAAACGATCAACATAATAAACTCATTAATAATTTCAAAAACTCATTAAGAATTCATGAAGCAATTACCCAATCTTGAGTAAGAAATTAGTCACGTGCATACGTCTTTATACCAGCTAAAGAACACTTTAACAAAAGACCATTGTTATGCAAACTATATAAAGATTTTTATATAAAGATTTTTATATAAAG